CCCTCTGCAGGCGCCCAGCCTCTGGCCAAGCTCATCCCCACTGATTATACACTCTGCTAGGACCTGACCCTGACCAACTGCTTAGAAGGCACCATTATACCTCTGGCACAGATCCCTTTGCCACATGCTCCCCATGATTTCTGCTGTCAGCTAAGGCCTCCCTACCACTCACCTACACAGCTAGTTGCACCATCTATGCATACCCACCTGCACACACACGTTCACCTCCCATGACCCTGCTCTGTTCACAGTGTACCCATGAACCACACATCCTCTGTCCTCAGGCTCATCAAAGACCTTCAGTCCAAGGGCTTTGGCCAAGTGACAATGCTCACCCACAGGCTGGATCCCCCGCTCACTTCCTCCCATACCTCCTGGGCTCTGTGCCATCCAGGAGGCACTTGCTTTCTTTGGTGTCATGTGCCCCTAGGACCCTAGGAATGTGCTTTGAGTTTCTGCTTCTCTCTCTCTCTTTCTCTGTCCCCTCCACTCTACACAGTGCTTGGCATCAATTCTGTCCTCTGCAGCAGAGTGGAATCCCTCCTTCTGCTTGCCTATCTGTTCCCTGCTCCATGGGCCCCAGGTGGACACCGAAACGGAGAACTTTGTGGCAGGCATGCTGACAGAATCCAGGTCTGTGAAGGCTTTTGGTGGCAACACCGTTGGTGCATGGGTGGTTTAATGGTAGCATTCCCCTTGTCACCTGGGAGCCTTGGGCTCCATTCCTGGCTGGTGTTGTTCCTTGTTGCCTTTTGATCCAGTAACCTCATCTTCTAGAATTGCTACGCTTGCCCAGGCACCACCAAGGCCCTTGCCCAGGTGGAGCCCCACCTCCGAGTGTAACTGTCTCCCGACCCACGTACTACCTCTAACCCTGGACCTGTACCCTTCCGGCATACTCCGTCTAATGGCTGTCCACACCGCCCTCTGAGGTCTTGACCATTCAGCCACTCTTCTGCCAGACACCTTTTCTCTGCCTCCCCTGCCACTGACCTTATGACAGTCCCTAGCCTGGTTGATGTATTTAATCATTATTTTAATAACTACATAAGGATTCAGAACTGTGATAGTTCTCTCATTAGTTAATGTTTCATTTCTACATGATCGTCTTCATCCGTAATGCAGCTGCACTTCTTAATGTTAATTGTGCCTGATGCTGCGTGGTTATTTGTTTCTTTGTGTTTTACATGACTCTTGCAAACAAATAACATTCATTTTCAAATGCAACTGTGTCATTTAGCTGGCAAGCTGACTGGTACCTGTTGTTCTTATGGTTATTTTTATTGGTGCGTTCAGATCTATTTCGTACTTTCCATTGATCTTAACTTTTAAATCCTTTGTAAGTACTATACTCTCATTTTATTTTTTTACTTCATTTTAAATAGCTATCCTGTCCATTGAAGTGATGCATGGGCAGTGTTTGTGTTTTCAGAATGAACTAGAAAGTATTGCCTTTTTATCTCTGCAACTAATCCAAAAACCTGCAGAATGTCAAGTAACAATAATTTGAACTTTTACTTCACAGCCAAGCACAATTTTCCTGATATGTCGGGTACCAATATAGAGTTGCAAAAAAAAAAGTGTTGTAAAACTATAAAATCGATTAAAAACAAAAACAGCCACATCTACAACTCTCGCCTACACCAATTACAATGCTCTGCAAACAAATATATAAAGTAGGAAAAGACGTAATCTGCTTAAAAGTCCTTTGACGAGTATATAAGAATACACCAAATAAGTTCATGGAAAATTTGGTGTGTTTTTTCCACTTTTCCTCCAACTTTGAGTCTTTCTCGTGTGTACACATATGTGTGGAAGCAGTGTGATGGCCGCCCATGCGTGCATGTTCGCGTGTGTTCTCATTTCGCTGCTCATGGTTAAAAGCCTGGAGCGCACCTGAAGCGGTCACCCTGCTCGGCGTGGGGGCGGCAGACGGAGCAGGGCCGGGGTTCCGCGGCGGGCGCTGCGCAGGCTTTGCAGCCAAGGGCTCCTTAGGCACAGCCCCGACGGAGAGCGCTCGGTGGAGGCGGGAGGAATGAGGGCGGAATGAGGGCGTCAGGTGCCCAGGGAAGTCGTGCCTTCCGGAAGAGCGCCCGCCCGGCTCGCGGCCACTGGAGAAGGGCTGGGGGCGCCGGGCCGGGCTGTGCGCAGCTCCTCCGTCGGAGACCACGCTTGACCAGACAGGTGCAGCGGCCGCCTGACGGGAGGGGACACGATCTTCTAAACCCTGCCCCGGGCGCACGTGAGTGCTCGTGGACGCACGCACACGAGGATGTCCAGATCGGCCGAAAGGCTTCTGGACATGAACCGTCCCAGCCGAAGTCGGAGAACTGCTGGAGCCAGACGCCGAGCATTGTGGTTCCTCGGTGCGTTCGCTGTCTTCTGCCTCCTTCAACCAACACCACCTCTCTGTCTCTCAGCTTTCCGGGGCAGAATCGGGTTCCGGGTGCAGATCTAAGCCGACGCTGGCTGGGACGGACCGCCTGCGCCTCTCGGGATGCGGCGAGCTGCGGGCTTCCCACGCGGACCCGCAGTCCGGAATTTGGCAAACAGGAACAGCACCGTGACTCTGGTGCAGTGAACTAGCGTGGCGGGGACCAGTCCTCCCGCCTGTCTCTGTGGCGCAATCGGTTAGCGCGTTCGGCTGTTAACCGAAAGGTTGGTGGTTCGAGCCCACCCAGGGACGGATAGCGCCCCGTTTTTGTAACATCATCAGACAAATGAGACTGGCTCCTGATCACAGGAAGAAAATACATTACTTAAGTTACACTTACCTTTAGCTACGTACCCACAGAAAGTGTAACTTAAACAGTGGCTTAGGAAAGTTCCAGCGGAAAGAAGGGCAGCGCCACTAACAAATAGGTGAACTCAGTGTCTTTCCCTGAGCCCGTCTTTCCTTAGCAGCTGGGACGTAAGCACGGCGCCCCGCAGCCGGCTCCTCAGAGCCCTGCGCCCCGTGGGCTGCACGTCCCGGCCTCGGCCCCGGGATCGGCTCCCTGCGCTCCCGGCTGCTGCTCCCGGATCCCGCGCCACCTGTCACCGGGCAGCTCTCCTTCCCGCCCACCCGCGGCCAACACGGACCTCCTCTCCTCGGGCTCCCGCCCTGGCGCGGCTTCCCGCCCCTGTCTCAGCCGGCCGCCCTGGGTCCCTGGGCGCCACACAATCAGATGGATCTCTTGACCCACTGCACCGACCTTTCTCCTCAACCTGACCCCGTGGCCTCCTCCTTCTCAGCGGGACCAGAAGTGAAGCCTCTTGCCAGCCCTCCCCTATTCCTCTCTCCCTGTTACCTGCGTTTCATGCCACAAGAAAAGCTCCTCAGGAGAGTGTTCCGGGGAGGTGCCTTGGCTTACTTATTAGACTCCAGCCTGGTGCTTGTGGGAAGAGAAGGTGAATTCAATACCCAGGGATTTCAAATGCACTTATCTGCTATCTGAATCTCACCCAAAAGTCAAAGACTTCGCTTGGATGAGGGGGGGAATACATCCTAGGGATGGGGTAATTTGATTGGCAGGTGAGTGGGGTATTACTTATGATGGGAGTAGAAGTTGGCCTGAAGTGTAGGCCAAACCCTCTAAAGCTACAGTACAGTCCTGAACAATTTCCCTCATGTGACACACCAAGGTCTCCCAGGACCATCTTGGACGAACTAAGGAGCGCTCCTGCTAACAGCAGCTTCCGGAGAGAGTCAGAGGAACTCTGCCTCAAAGTGCCCCAGGCTCCATGTAGAAAGCAAAGGCTGTGCTTATCTTACTACCCTTGGAAGAGGCTATTGACTCCTCAACTGTCCAATGGAGCAGGCAGACACATCTTTCCTGCACACCCAGACATGTCCCTCTCCCCTGCACAAGAGTCAGCAAAGAAGGCAGTCCAACAGGCAACATGTGCCCTGAGGCCAGGCGCACATCCACTGCCCAGGTGCCTGGGACAGAGGATGCCAAGGAGAAAGAGCACAGATGCCTGCCTGCCCATGCCACAGGTGACCAGGTAGGGGCTCCTGCAAAGTTTCAGTCTCCGGTACATGGAGGGGACATGGGGAGTAACACTCCAGCCCAGTGCCTCTCCCACCCTAGTCATCCTGTGGGGCTAGGCAGTGTCCACGGCCCACGTGACATCATCCTCAGGTCTCCTCTGGGGTCCTTGGTCATTGCAGCAGAGCTGCAGCCCTAGGCCCCCTCCCTGCCCCTTGTCAGTTCAGGCATGGTACAGCTCTGACCACAGGCCCACACCCAGAAGGGCTGGGTGCACACCTCAGCCAAGAAAGTGAGCAGAAGAGAAGCGAAGAAAAGGGAAGGAAAAGGCAGGGCGAGGCTCTGACAATGTGGAAAACAGTGAGAGCGAGCTGAAGCTTCCTGTCAAGAACAACCACTGCCTTCTCCTTCCCGCCACTCTGGAGCTGGCATGCTCAGGGTTTGGATTTCAACACCTGTCTCGGGGGAGCACGGCATCTTTGCTGTTGGTTGTCTGATTTTATTCCCTCAATGACATGAACAAAGCTACCCCTGCACCAGACACAGGAACAGGAAGCTGGCTTCATCATCGCCTCCCATCCTCTCTAATTCTTACTGTCTCCTGCCCCAACCACCAACAAAAGCATTTTCAGCCCCTGCCTCTCCCTGGCCTGGCACTCCTGGGGGCCCTCCCTGCTGTGCTTTCTTGATTCAAGGTCCACTAGGCTCACAGCCACCCAGGAGCTGCACTTTGTTTTCTGGATCCCCAGGGCCCTGTCTCCAACCCAGGCCCATCTTCGACTCACAGGGTGGAGATGCTGGTTCCTGGCTATGTCCTCCCAGCCCATCTCCCAACAGAGGAGACAGAGACTCCCCTGGCCACCTCAGCCCTGGGTCCCTCCCCGGGTCATCTGCTCCCCCACCAGACCATGAGCTATGCACATGCGCAAGCTCTCCCCGTTCTGCCCAGGACATGCTAGCTCCTCCTCAGCCTCCCCTTCTCATGGAGCCTCCGAGGTCCTTGGCTGCTCCCGTGCTCTGTCTGCCAGGAGACTGGGGTCTCTGGGAGCAGCCTGCCCCACAGCAGCAGCAGCTGTTGCAGCCAGCTGGGTTGTGGGCTTGGCCTCCCCCATTCCTCCCTTCTCTACTGCCCCGTGTGTTCAAGAACAATGTATGTGTATGCAAGAGTTGCCAGTGGGCCTGTGTTGGCTCTGCTGCAAGGGCACGGCAGGACTGCCCAAGGGGCTGTTCTCTCGAAGATTCGGATCCCCCCAGGCGTCTCTGGTGGCATCCTTCCCTTCTACTAGAAATGACGAGGGACCAGGGAGTGGGGAGGACCCTGCGTGTAGGTTCTGGTTGCTGGCGGGGATGCCCCTTGGGGATGAGGATGTTGCAGATTCACGGAGAAATTTGGAGATCTGCTGCCACTGTCCTTGTAGTTCCCCCGCACCAAGATGTCATTTGTCCAGAATGTCCTTGCTCCACCCGAATGTGTAGTCCTTCCGGGTGTTGAGGGAGCTTCGAAGGTCTCTCTTCACAGAGAAGTACAACGCTGTGTCCACGGCCAGCAGGAGCCCCATCACCAGGCCGAAGGCGATCAGGTGCCAGGACAGAACGGAGGGCGAGATGCTTGCATTGGCTGCACCAGCAGGAAAAGGGAGAGATGAGAATAATGACAGGCATTTGGCAGACAACTGGAATGATTAGCAAGGTCACCAGGCAACAGTTGTCCTACACCTGCCAACACATGGGCCCTAGGGAGGAACCTGTACTTCCTCCCACTGACACCTGCTCTAGGTGCTCCCTGGGGAGCGCAGCCCTCATGCCCCAGGCAGCGGCTCTGTGTATCAGGTGGCAAAGTGCCAGGAAGTGGGCAGCAGGTCAGGCTGTAGCTGGGTTTCAGGTGACAACTGTGAAGTTACCAAATAACTGCGCCGTGTATAAATTGGCACACATGTGTGTCCTAGTTTTTAGGGATTTGTTTTCTTTAATGAAAGGTTGAGTGACAGAAAGAGAGGCTGAGTGAGAGATTCTCCACTCAGTGGATTACTCGCAAATGGCTGTCACAGCTAGGGCTGGGCCAGGCTGAAGCCAGGAGCCAAAGCTTCTTCCCATTCTCCCAAATAGGTGTGTAGGCCCATAACTGAGCTATCCTCTGCTGGAGCAGCCAGGTCTCAAGCTGGTCCCTGTACAGCATGACAGCATTGTAGTTGGCAGTTTAACCAGCTGGGACACAACACCAGCTTCTAAAGTGTTTTTAAGTGAGATCTCTAACATGTTATTAGAGTACTATAAAGAAATCTCATACATGTTTTGTACAGATTCACTCATTGTTAATGTTTGCCCTGTAAGCTGGATGTTTCCCTAACTACTCCGAAGAACCCTATTTATGGTTTCAACAACTGGAGGTAGAAAATACTGGAAAACATTATTTCTGCATCAAACAGCAGAGCTATGTGAGAGGAAGGGCCTGACACAGTGGCTGACTTTGCCAGCAGTTAGGTATTTTGAGGCTCTCTGGTTCCGGGAGGGAACATGGCCAGAACCATGGCCTTCCTGGTGGGAATGCAGGCCACACATGGCGGGTCCTGAGCTCTCAGGCAGTCAGCCATGCTCACCTTGAACAGTGATGGTCACGGTCTCTGAAGATACAATTGTTTTCCCGATGAGCCCTCTGCAGAAGTAGGAGCCGCTGAAGGTACGTTTGGCTTCTGGAATGTGGAGGTCTGTATTGTTATGAAAATACTTGACGCCTCTGCCATCTTCGTGTAGATAGGTGACCTTGTACATGGAATTGTTCTTCCAGCTGTGGCACCTCAGATGAATGGGCTCCCCTTCCTGGATCACCCACCGTGCAGCCTGGAGCACCAGCCAGCCTGAAAGACACCAAGAGCCCTGCTGGCCTCAGCTCCCAGGTGGGCAGCACTTGGGAAAGGGACACTGCCACACAGAGCCAGGAGCCACCTCCCCAAGGCTCCCCCTGGGGCAGGACTGGCTGGACCTCAGAGCTCAAGTCATTCCAATGCCCTTTGTCTGATGGGGAAGATGGCACACGGCCACGTGATGAAAACCTGGGGTTGGACAGAGTGCTCAGCCATGGTGCAGCTGAGAAGCAAGGCTGGGACAGCTGCAGGTGCTGACATACTGGAGGTGGGGTCGCCGTGGTGGGGAATGAAGAGTTCTGGCATGTTCCAGAATCAAGAGCAGGGACTGTAATTGCAGATGCTGATTTGCCCCTTAGGGACAAGGTAGGCTCTAGGAGGAAGAGGCGGTTGTAGAGATACTGAAAGACTCCTGAGCAGGCAGGGGACAAAGTAATGGGAGGCCACAGCAGGGTGTGCAGACACAGTGGAGGGGAGAGGCGGGCCTGGCGGTGCACTCGGCAATGGTGGTTTGTGAAGGGTGCTGGGCCTTTGGAGGACAACCTTCAGAAGAGGGACACTCTCAAACATGTGCAAAATCCTAATCTACTCCTTACACACCAGGACACCTGTTCCCACAAACACCCCTCCCCCATCCTACCAAGGCATTCAGCCTGAGCAAGGCAGAACCTGAAGTCATGGTCAAGATGGTGCCTGGAAAGGTGAGATGACAAGGAGCACAGCCCTACAGTGACATGAAAAAGCAGTCACGAGACGACTATCAGACAAAATGGCAGAATGTAAAGAACATATAAGTACAGAAGAAAGGAAGACTGTGTTTATAAATGTCATCTTGGAGAATGGAGCAAGTTCATATTCACTTCCACATATAGGAACACTTACTTAGTTATCTGCAGGGCCGAGTTACACATAGAAAGAGAACAGCAGAGAGAGAGAGAAGTCTGCCCTCTGGTTGGTTCACTCTCTAACCTGGGCTGCCTCAGGTGGAAGCCAGGAGCCTAGAACTCCTTCTTGGCCTCCCACATGGGTGGCAGGGGCTCACACACTTGGGCCATCTACTGCTCCCAGGCATATTAGCAGAGAGCTGGATTCGAAGTAGAGCAGCTGAGAGTTGAACCAGTACTCATATTGAATGTTGGTCCTGTAGGCAGCACCACAATATGGCATATATATATTTTAAGTAAACCCAAGTGACATTTATAATAAGGGCAAAATAAATTTACTGCAATTTAGAAAACATTTTACCTTAATATATACCAAATTTGTAGACCATATTTTGATTGCCTAGCTAGAAAGTTTGTTTTAGAGAAGATAATCTTTATTACTTATCAAGACACGCTTGGGGACAGTATAGTGAGTTAATCTGCCATTTGGGACACATGCTTCCTGACAAGGGCCATCAGAAAAATATTTGTGCAGCTTGAGAGAGAGCAAGAAGGATGTGAGCTGAGTATGTATTGGAATGGAAGCTTCCTGGGGTGATGCTGTCTGACAAAGTCTGTGGTTAACAAAGCAAACACACTAGCCACGCCTTGGACAGTCAGGCCACAGGGAGGCCGAAGTCCTTGAGACACCAAGCTCTGAGAGTCTGCACACCTGGAGGTACCTTTACTCTCTCCTCCCTCATGTTCCTTCATGATCTCCTTGTGGCCCTGAAGACACATTAGCAGTAATGTTGACCACACTTTTCCCAAGAAAATAAAAGCTTCCAGGCAAAGCCCAGAAGTGTTCCCTCCTTCTTGCTGGGAGAGTTCTCTGCAGCTGCCTGTTTTAACTCTGATGAAGTCTCTGGATCATTTTTCCTTTTTTCGATTATGTGCCACTCCTCTCTCAACCCTGTGCTGTCATGCAGGTCATGGCACATCCTGATTCAGAGCCACATGGAATTCAGTCCTGACTTCAGATCGAGTTCTGCTACTGCCCTCACTGGGAGACAGAATATGATGGAACAAAAACTCATATACTTGGGTCCCTGCCACCCCCGTGGAGACACAAACAGAGATCCTTGAATTTGACTTATCCTGAGTTGCTGCAGGCATTTGCGGATTTGGGGAGTGAATCAGTAATGGAACAGATGGAATATTTCTTTCTCTCTTCTCTCTCTCTCTGTTTCTGTCTCCTGTCTGTCTCTGTAATTGCTTTTCAAAGAAATAATCCAAACGATAAAGATTTTGGGGCCCAGGGTGATGGCTCAGTGGCTCAATCCCTATCTTGCAAGTATCAAAATTCCATATGGGTGCCAGTTCATGTCCCACCAAGCTCCCTGCTTATGACCTGGGGAAGCAGTAAAGGATGGCCCAAAGCCTTGGGACCCTGCATCTATGTGGGAGACCCTGGCTCCTGGCTTCAGATCAGCTGAACTCTGGCTGATGCAGTCAGAGTAAACCAGCGAATAGAAGGTATTTCCTCTCTGCCTCTCCCTTTCCATATATCTGACCTGCCTTTCCAATAAAAATAAGCATTTTTACGAAAAAAAAAATAATATACAGCGTTTATTAGGAAGGTGATAGCCATATGCCTCTGACATGACTGGTGGGTAGAGGAATCATCATCATGTTAGGTTATGGCTGAGTGATAGTCTGGTGCCCCTTGGGGGACACACTTGTCCGGCCTGTCAGGGCACAGATTCAGTGAATGTCCATATGTTCAATCATTCAACAAATGCCCCACCGAGTACTCACTCTGAACACCATTGCGCAGCCTGGGGATACCCAGATGACTAACATGTGTGGTGCCCAACCTCAAAGAATCTACATTGTTACAGAGAAACACGCTTCTCAGGAAGCATTACACCACAATGTGGTAAGTGTGACAAAAGCTGAGAACAAATACATTCCACCTGTGGTGTAGAGAAGGCTTCTCAGAAGAGGAAATCAATAGAGTGATTCCTATAGGGTGACCAGGAAATTGCCTGATGATCACTTGCTTATAGCTAAGTTAAATACAGGCTTGCTGGCTGACTTCTAAAGCCAGATTCTAAAGCAAGTTCAAGGTAAACACATCATTCCTATATTTAATTTCTCTATTGCTTCCTCCTAATAATTCCCCATTTTATTTGGACTTAGGCCACAGACATTACTTCTTATATAACTCAGAAGAGGAGGGCTGTGTCTGCTGGACCATATGGTCAGAGACAAAGGAACCATAGCAATCTGCTGGATAGACCCATTCATTGAACCCCCTTTGCAGATCCACCTCAGTCACTGCCCAGGATTTTTCTGTAGGTTTGTTTCACTCACATACTCTGTACAAATGAGGCCACCATGGAAGTACAGCTGTGTTAGCAAGCTGAGGCTGAGGGTGCCAGGGATTCCAGGAAAGACTCACCTCTAAATGATTCCCCTGTATCCTCCTGATGACTCAATGCTGCTAAGGGCACCAAGACTTCCACTCTTGGAGTTATCACTGTGGAAACCAACTTCAGCTGATATCTGCCATGCCAACATTCCGTGTGGGCACTGATTTGAGTCCTGGCTACTCCACTTCCCACTCAGGCCGTATCAATGGACAGACAAAAGAAGCAGAAGATGGTCCAGGTCTTTGGGCCCCTAACACCCATGTGGGAGACTTTGGGGAAGCTCCTGACTCCCTTTAGCCTCATGTAGTCTTGGACATTGTGGCCATCTGGAGAGTGAACTAGCAGATATAACATCTCTCTCAATCTATGTGTGTGTGTGTGTCTCTTTCTCTATGTAACTCTTCTTTCAAATAAATAAATATTTTTACAAATTAATTAAAAAAAAAAAAGGCTTCATGGCCTGGCACAATAGCATAATGGTTAAAGTCCTCACCTTGACCTGCTGGGGTCTAACATGGGCACCGGTTATAACCCAGCCCTGCTTCCCATCCAGCTCCCTGCTTGTGGCCTGGGAAAGCAGTCAAGAATGGTCAAAGGCCAAGGTATCCTGCACCTGCGTGGGAGACCCAGAGGAAGCTCCAGGCTGCCAGCTTCAGATCTGCTTAGCTCTGGCCACTGTGGCTGCTTAGAGAGTGAATCACTGGACGGAGAGTCTTCCTCTCTGTCTCTCCTTCTCTCTGTAAATCTGACTTTAAATCTTTAAAATACTTAAAAATAAAACAAACAAAAAGGCTTCTATGCCACGATTAGCATATGAGCTCAATATGTCTTTGCCTAGAGCAAGAACGGTAAGCCATTGCCAGCTTTAGCACAGCATAGCTTTGAGCCTGGTGTTATGGGGAGTGAGGAAAAGAGAGGCCACACGAGGAGAGTAGGGATGGTCTGGAAGGTGGCTCAGGGCCTCTGTGTGGGAGCCAGCCTCAGCGTGGACCTCAGGGGGGACAGGGCGCTTTACACATCTGTGCGGATGTGACTCCTGCCATCGTGAACGCCCCAGCCCTGACATTGTGCTGAAGGCCTGGGTGTAAACCACAAGTACAGCTCTGGCCCACACTCCTCCTTCTAGTTTTGTTCCCCAACATCACTTCCTGGCTTCTCCGAGATCTCAGGGCCCTTTGTTTGTTCCCAGTCCCGCAGGCTGACTCACCAACGCGGACTTGCAGCTGCACTGGGTCACTGAGCGAGGAGATGTTGGAGCCGCACCTGTACTCTCCACTGTCTTCAGCGCGGGCAGACCTGATGGTGTAGGTGGGGGTGTGGCTTGAGATGAGGCTCCCATTGTGCAGCCATTGTATGGAACTGTTCGCAGCAGGGGGGAACCCCTGGCACTTGAGAGTCACTCGGTCCTCCTGGAGCACCCTGTCCCACGGAGGGTCTAGCAGCACCACAGGTTTCAGGACTTCTGCTGAGGAGCCAAGACAATAGGGGGTGAGGACGGGGAGCTGGGCAGGCCTGGGGCTGGCTTCTCTGGGAGGCTTCCTGCCACAAGGAGCAGGTGCAGACCCACAGAAGGCAGCCAGTGACTGGGCCTTGGAGCTGTTGGCTTGGAAGTGCTCAGCTCCATTTGAGGGAAAACTGACCAGGCAAGCTCACGGGCCGGGTCTGCTTGCAGGGGAACTGTTCACGACCACCCCACAGTAGCCGTTTCCCAACATCTTGTGGCCATTGCACTCTCATGTGCCCCATATGTTCACCCCAAGACACTGAGACAAACTTACCAGCCTGGGAGGCAGCTGACACTGCAAGAGAAAAAAAAAAAAAAGGGCATCAGAGGCTGAGCAGTACAACATCAGGGTGAGTGGAGCACAGACTGAGTGTGACACCCTTATCCCTGCCCAGGGAACCAAGGACACCCAGAGTGTTGGTTGGGGGCATATTCTGCTGGGTACCACCCTCCACCCACACCCTGGTCACCACCCTCCCTACTCCTTGCTCCCTCAGAGAGTATGCAATCTAAGGGCACCACTGGGAAATCCCTGGATCAAGTCCCATGCACAATGTGACCCCTAGCCACCTGGAAAGGGTAGAACTGCAGCAGCCTGGAGGGGAGCCTGAGAGGTTGACCGGGCACCTGTGAGAGCAGGTTCTCAGTTGACAAGGAAGAACCTGAGGCCTAGGGAGGAATAAGGGTGCCTAGCCTGGTCCTACACCTCCTGATTATGCCCAAGGTGCAATCGGCTTCTTCCCTCTCTCTAGGTCCTGGACACAAGGCTTGTCCTGGAGCTAAGTCCAAGTGGCAGACCTACCCCCTCAATCCTGATCTCACTCCTTGGTGCAGGTCCAACCCTCCATGCAATTCCAACCCCCTGATACAGGTCTGACCCTTCGGTGCAGGCCCCTCCCCTGGCATGGGAAGGCATCTATACTAAACCCAGCACCTCTTAGCATTTCCTCCTACAGCCTTGGCAGCCCCAACTTACCCAAGAGCAGTAGAGCCACTGGGGACAGCAGCTGCCCCATGCTGCAGCACTGCCGTGAGTGAGTCACACTGATCAGCAAAGGCCCTTACAGACCCAAAAAGGGGAAGGAAGCAGCCCCGCCTTCCCACCAGGCAGCCACTCAGCAGGCTCCTGTTCCTGGAAGGTCATCTGATTTATTCCCAGTCCAGATTCTGACCAGTGTTTTGCCACCATGGCAGGAATAGGAAGAAAGAGCCTGAAGGGGAAGCTGGAATGGCTGGGTCCCCTTGTTCCCGGGGGCATCCAGCTGATCATCTGGATCTCATAGCTCCTGCCAGAGTCCACTCTCAGTGCTTCAGGATGTCTGTGTGCACCTGCTGGGCTTAGGTGACCCAGTGTAAGAAGGGGGCAGCCAGAGCCTGAAGCTGATGTGCAGGACAGAGTGCTGTGGTCCTGTTGCAAAACCTCTCACTCTCCTTCCTGGCTTCCAAATAGGCAAGAACAGAAGGAAGAATTAAAATCCTCAAACCACTGGCTGTGTCTTGCCTAAATATTCTCTACTAACAGGTTCTTTTCACATGCTCCTGTCCCAGAAAATGTAATCCATGGGGGTTACCACTTTCTCAGACCCTGGAGAGAAAGAACTGGGGGTGAAGGTTAATGGTCCCTTGGTGAAAGGATCACCAACGCAATGGGGTAGGGCTAGCAAGGAAAGGGCAGTAGCTCCTCACCTGCACCCAGATACTGCCAGGGCTGTGCTGAGCCCCAGCAGCTCAGGGCAGCTCAGAGCCCTCAGAGCCCTCAGAGCCCTCAGAGGCTATGGCCCTTGGCTGGTCTGTGGGTCTGGTGGCCCAGGTGGGTCCCAGAGCTTGTAAGCAGTAGAGGTTCAGGAAGTGGTAAAGTTGTTAACCTACTCCCTCCTTCAGAACATATCCACACCCTTCCCCCTTCTCCTCTCCTTCCCTTCCCCCTCCATCCCCTCCACTACCCTCGCCAGTCAGGAGCCATACACAAAATCCAGTCCCTCTGCTTGATGGAGCTACTCCCTCGGGAAATCCTGACGGTTGTGCAGGTGTTACTGTCTTGGAGAAGTCCAGGGGGTGAGAAGCAGACAGGTGAGTGACATGATGCTTAACTGGATGGAGAGGGGGCAGGGCCTGGCACAGTTGCAGGGACCAGTGTGAGACCACTTCCTGCTAATGTCCTTCCCACTCTGAGATTATATAAGTGTTGATCTCAGGGTTTGTTTGGTGCCTGGTGGAGTTAATGATGCTCCCTCTCCGACTGCTTTCCCAGGCCACAAGTAGGGAGCTGGATGGGAAGTAGAACTGCTGGTATTAGATCTGATGCCAATCCGGGATCTTGTGGATGCAAGGTGAGGACTTTAGCCACTACACCCTCCTCAACTGCTTTCCCAGGCCATAAGCAGGAAGCTGGATGGGAAGTTGAGTAGCCAGTATTAGAACTCGTGCTCATATGGAATCCTGGTGGATGCAAGGCAAGGACTTTAGCCACTAGGTTACTGCACCAAACCCAAGAAATGAATCTCAAAACAAAAACAAAAACAAACAAACAAAAAACAGTGAACAATGAGCAGGAATGAGAGGGGTCAGACCAGAAATGGATACTGAAAATTCTTTGCTCAGGCTCTTAGGCCCTCAAGGCTGTGGAAGTTCCCAATGGGGAAGGTAAGTGTACATCAGCTCCCTGGTCACTTCTCAGTTCTCCAAGTGGTTTCCCCTTGTGCCTGGGGGTACAAGGCAGTCGCTTTGGCTTCCTTCCTCTGACTTCTTTTTCCTGTCTGTGGCTCCCAGTGAGGGAGCAGTCACAGGGTGCAGGCTGATGAGTGAGATAGGGCTGGAGATTGGGCAGGAGAAGAGATTGGGTAGAACAGGAGAGGAATAGCAGCTGTCACTGACACACCTTCCATTCACAGGAGCACGCCTGGGGAGGCAATAGTGACCTTAGTATTTGAGGTTATTGAGTTCCAAGTGGGAGTGGAGGTGTCAGGTGATACACAATTAGAAACACCTTGAGCATCAAGAGCAATGGACACTGATTCCATTGTTTGGTGCATAGTGTTTAAAAACAAACAAAAAAAAATGTAGCACAATTTCAAGATTTCTTACCACCTGTGGTGATTAAAAACTTAAACATTAGCTCTACAAAGGAAATTCCACTGCTCGTGTTTTCCACACACAAAAGAATCAAAATTTGCAGAAACTCAAAAGCTACTGCGAAGTCTCAGCGACTGAAACGCTGCTGCTTGCGACTCCTGCACCCCAAGTTTGAGCACCAGTCTCAAAGCTCTTAACCCCCCCGGGTTCTGCAAGGCTCTCCCATAAGGGACACAGGAACTTAGCCACTAGGCCAAGTGCTCCCCGCGACCCTGAGTTTTTAATTCCAATCAAAGATAATTTCTATTCTACTAATGCAAGTGAAGCTCGGCACAAGTGCTCGTGTAACATCCGTTCCCTCATGTGTCCTGGATCTTCATGTTGCCAGGAGCTCTTCCAGAAACCTGTTTCCTCTTAGTTCCTTATCTTTAGCCTGCCGTCTCTGCCCCTCCTGTTTTTACTAGCATAGACTCAACATGTGGTCAGAGACGTTGCTAGTTGATTCCTACAATTTCTTTCTCCCTTGCTTGGATTTTGATGCTGTTGCCAGCCTCAGTTTCATTTCCCTGAAGTCAGTCATTCTAGAAGAATTAGTGATTTTTAATTTCGCTTTTGCATTTCTGTTGGGTCTCAAGGTCACTCCAGCCCTCCCTCCTGACTCTACCATCCCATGGCTGTCTCTGCTGACACTGGTGGCCACAGGAAAAATCAGATATTAGCAGGGACCCCCACCATCCTCTTGTACACAGTAACTTTCCTCACTGCTTGGGGACATTTACACAAGACTACTCAACCAGCAACAGCACCACTTTTGTATTTGTGTTGAGTGACTCACACTCAGAAACTTAGAAGAGCAGAGCTTTCTCTGTGGCGTGAGGGGAATCAGGAATGCACAGATCCTGAATCGGTGCTCCAAAGAAACTCAGATGGCCCTTGTCTTTCAAAGGGATGGGGAGGCTGCGGACAAAGGAAATTCCCAAGTCCCGTGGAAAGGAAGGGACCACAATGCCGAGAAGAGCCTAGGCTTCTACTGTGCATCACCAGGCTACATGTGATAGACTCGCAGTGGGTGTGAAGCTCCTTGGCTATTGTGACAGTTATTCAGCTGCAATATCCAATGAAAGCATTAATGGTTTTGCAGGTCTGGCCCACTTTAAAGTTAGCCTCCCTGATGCTCAGTGCAGGAGTGAACTTTTCCTATAGTTTCTTTTTGGTTTTTCCTCCCTGCCCCTCTCTGCCCTCCCCAGTATATGCGCTACAGAATAATGCATTCCCAAGGAGTGTTCTTTTATGTGCATGAAGCCATAGGACCCTAAGGATCTCTGACTCCATTTTGTAGCGCCACTTAAAGACTGCTTTTTATTCTATTCCGTTCTGGATTTCACCTTTACAAATGCACTCAACTGCCACAGTCAGAGGAGATCTTCTTTATTTAGGTCCCAGGCACTTCTGTCCTGCCCCAGCAATCCGTTAATCAGCGCTCAAGAAGAAACGGATGATGGGAATCTGACATTGACAAGATCTGCTATAAACTGACCCAAGACCCATCTTGCTTCTTTTTGCCTCTGAACGCTTGCACTCCAGCCTTCCTGCTCCGGAGAGCTATGTGCTAATGGGCCTCTTCTCTGGTTCCTCACACTCCTGCTGTCTCCGGGCAAAGACATACCTCATCCCTCCTGGCTCACCACCCAATTAGGATGCCAACCACCATCAGCCATCTCTTTATACCCACTCTTGAAGATTCATCCCAGAAAGCAGTCTGCTTAGATGTGACCTAAGCTCTTAGTTCTCTGTGACATTGTCAGCTTGTGGAAGACTGGACACTCCCATCCTGGGAATCAGCACTGAACAGAAAGTAGATCCTGGAGCCTGCCCTGGGTAAAATGGGAAATGAGTGAGTGTGTACAAGCATTGCTTTCTTGGATACAAGAATATAGTTGTCAGGACCAGACAGAATTCTTAAAGAGTGACTGTGGTATTACAAAAGAACAGACAACTAGATCAATGAAGTGAAACTGATTCAAATAAATGCAGATCCATTGACAAAGAAGCAAATGCAACATAATGAAGAAAACAATCTTTGTAAAACCACAGTGCTGGAACAGTTGGAGATACGCTGATACAAAGGTGCAGGTAAGGCCAAGCATTTGGCTTAGTGGTTAAAACATCAGTTAAGATAAACATCAGTTAAGATGCCCACATTTCGTATTGCAGTGTCAAGGTTTGAGTCCTGGCTCTGCTCCAAACACCAACTCCTTGCTAATGTGTACCCTGTGAAGTAATAGGTAATAGCTCCGGCAATCGAGTTCCTGCCACCCATCTGGGAGACCCAGATTGATTTCCAAGCTCTCACAGAGCAGTGATCCTGCTCTGATCATTGCAAGCAGCTGGGAAAGTAAAATAATGGATAGGATTGATCGATCTCTGTTTGTGTTATTCTGCCTTTAAATAATGAAAAGCAAAACAATTTTTTAGCATTTTAACATTTTTCTTGTTTATTGGTTTATTTATTTATTTTTATTTTACTTCTTTTTATTATTATCATTTTATGAAACAGTTTCAGAGGCCCTGGGATTTCCCTTTTCCTCTCCCCAACCCCCTCCCTCCTCACTGAGTTCCCCTATATCATTACTATAGTATAGTTCTTCACACAGTCATATGCACATCATTGCGGGCATGGACAATGGCAGAGAGTTCAGCATCCTATTGTCAGGATATAATAAACAGTTTCATTGGGAGTCCATCTTTGTCTGGAAGTAGAGATGCATACTGCATTGTATCATCACATCTGGATATGACAGTCTCCATTTCACAGTTACTGTACATTCCCTTAAATGAAAAGCCACAAAACAAAATCCACAATAGGAAGAAAAAAAAGAAATTAACAACACCATGAAGTAAATAAACTACTGAATGACTAATGAGTCATTGAAAAAATGAAAAAAAAAGTCAAGAACGTTCTTGAAAGAAATGATGGT